TATAGTTCATATATATAATATATATATAGTTCAGAAGTGCGCAAGAGTATTTCATATTTTTGCTGTGGATATTTCGCTTTTCCTTCTTTTTTTATAGAGGGCCCAGCACAAAGAAACCGCCGTGCGAAAATACGCGCAATTGACAATTAATTGATGTGTCCGCTTTTCTGTTGCTGTTTCATTGCTGTTGTTGTTGATGTTGTTGCTGTTGTTGCTCACACCCTTGTCAGCTGTCACTTATACACACATATATGTAGTTTTTTATGATTAAAGTGTTGCCTTAGTGCGCATTTTCAGCTCCCTTCGCACCACTCTGATCGATCGTTGGCTCTGCGTGGTTTTTGTCCATCTTATTATTTATCACTTTATATACAATTGCAGTTTTTTGTTGTTGTTGTTGTTGCTTGCTTTTTTTTTTTCTTTTTATGAGTTTCGGCTTTAGTTTTATGCTCTCATGATTTTTTCATTAATTTATTGGCATTCGCTGCTAGAATTGCAATTACCCTCGCAGTACATTGACATTGGCAGATAAAATCAGAGTTGAAATCAAAATCAAATATTCTGTCAGTCAGCGATAAGAGCTGATCTTTTGTAGTGGCCATAAAGTGAAACGTGTTATCAATGGAAGATTGTTCGTTGGCTTGAAATTCTATTGGGGTGTTGAAATCTAAAGTTTGTTTCTGATATATATGTACATACATATATCCAATTGAGCTGGTAGGGTATCTATTCCACCGCTTGATTGATGCATGTACAAGAAACTCTTTGTAAATAAATATATTTAGTATAATGGCGAGTCGAACAATTGATACAAAAGAAGCAAATCGATCTTAACTATAGTATACGAAGTATTTTTGAATTTAATAAAATATTTTAAAGGTATATACCAAAGTGTAGTAACTATAATTTAATAAATATTTATGACTTTTCGGAAATATAATAGTATATATTGTATCATATCATGGTGGGATCTTGAGGAAGAAGGCTTGTTTTGTTGCTGCAACCTGTTGGGAGCATCTGTAATTAAGCTGTCATCATAATTATCTCCTTGATCTTTGGCGCTATAGACCTCTTTCTGCCCTGTCTGCCACAAAATGACGCGCACGAGTTGCACTGAGCGAAACACTTACAATTAATGAAATCGTTATGCGAAACATTGACATTTCCATTTTCACGTTCATAAATCAAGCGAAAATTACAGCACTTAACTAACGATACAGAAACAACAACAACAACAACAACAACAACAACACTCGAGAACAGCAACAACAATATACTTGGAGAGCAAACTCCGCCTGCTTTTTTATAATGGAACATCATACAACATAATTAAGGCGTAACGAGGTCCGTTGAAAGCAGGTGAAAGGTGTGTGAGTGTGCCGAAAATAATGTAACCCAAATATACGAAAAAAATAAACACACACACACGAAATAATTCTTAAACTCATGCGAGAAATGGCGCAGCATGAAAATTCAAATTGTAATTATAAGAGTAGAGCGAAAGAGAGAAAGAGACAGAAGTAAACAACAACAAAATGTAGCATAAAAAGGTTAAATAATAATAAATGACAATGTTGTGAGACGCATGCGGTTGGGATCACTCTGCATGTGCACGTGAAGGGGCGGCCGGGCGGGTGAGCGTAGATGAGAGACGAGAACTGGGAACGGGTAACTCGTAGCTCGTAACTCGTAACTGGGAATTGAAATTGGTCTGGCGATGGGTTCGTTTGCTTGGATGCCCCAAAACCTCAATTAAAAACGCATTAACATTTCACTCGTTGCACTTTTTTGCCGTATGCAGGTATGTGTGTGTGTGTGTGTGTGTGTGTGTGCCTTTGTGTTATACATACACCGTAGGGGCTCTGCTCAGCGAGTGGCGCCGTCGCTTTCAAGCGCCATTAATTGGTAATTTTAAGTCCACACACATATACACACACACACACACACACACACTGGCACACACCCAATACACACACTCACAGTTGGCTGAGTATTTAGGTACGCTGCTTGACCTAACGATGTGTGTAATGTTGTTTAAACAATTTAATTAAAATGTAATTTGTTTGAAAATACTTATGAAAATGGGTTCGGTTCGKTTCAGTTCGGTTTGGTTTAGCCCCTTGCCCACCCTCTGCCCCCCTCTGCCTCGCTGCTTGCTGCTCGCTGCCCCACACCCTCGCTTTGACGACTCAAAATGGTCATTGCCTTCTCCAGCTGCTGCTGCTGCTGTTGATGACGATTACGTCGATGATGATGATGATGATGATGATGATGAGGCTGATAGACGTCTAATTAACTTGTAATAAATGCTTGCAATTTACTTATTTAACTTTAATTATAAGGTGCAGCAGCAACAACAACAACAACAGCTACAACAACAACAACAGCAACAGTTGCTGCTTATAAGTGAGTTATTGCGTGGTTTGAGCCGAATAACCATTTAGTGGTTCTCCACTAATTCTCTCTTCTCGCAGCTTGCCTCAGGCCTAGTTCCCTTCGAAAGTTTACATTGTAGAAGGTCGAACCTGATTCAAATTACAACTTAAACTTTAGAGTTATTTCTAATTGCCTAATGAGGTTTTGTTTGTGGCTTGATGTTTACTGATTATTCTATTATAATGAAAACCGAAATATCAAAAGCTGACCAATCATTGTCTGGACCACGTAATACTCAAAGCGTTTATTAATTGAGCGTATAAAAGTTGTCTGAGTAGAGCTAGAATTTCAAGGGATTTAGTTTTAAAAATTATACATAGATCTCATCAATTATATTTTGAAATGAATTGATTTAATTGGACTTTAATTTACTATTTTTAGGGAATACTACACGGCCCAAGTACTACCTACCGATTCTGCGATCAGGAAGGAGTCTGTCCCCAATATATTTGCTCTAAACATATATTGTTTATTTAGTATATATGTATGTATTGTTAATACAACAGGGTTTCTGAGATACCGGAAATATTATTATACGTCCGTCAATGCGGACATTGCACAAAACCAATATACAATATATTAAAAATAAACTTGGATATAATTAAAATATTTAAAAATTTGATTGTCTATTTGGTTTCTGATGAATTGCTCCATTGTCTCCGTTTGTTTGCCTTGTGTTTTGTTTTATTGTCTCACAGATGAGAGAAAGATGCAAACTGGTTTTGTACTAAACTAATTTTGATTGTGCTTAGTCTGAAATTTGAAAACTTGAAAACTTGAATAAAGCCATATTTTACATCAATTTACTAAACGAAAAATGCGTGTTCCAAACTATTGTATAGGCTAAATATTTCAGCTTAGCCAAAATACCTCCCATTGGCATTGCAAAATCCATTAAACTAAACGGCCGTCCGTAGTTCTCTGCGTTTGATAAAAACTATGGAATATATTCGTGACTTAGAAATTGTTAAGATTTATTAAATCGCGAAATAGTTGGGGAATGTTTTGACAACCCAATATAAGGAATATTATCTACGCTAATTGCGGCGTGGAAATTTCGTTTCAAGAAATCGAGAAATTCTTTATTATTCCTTCTTTATAAATAAACAAGTAAGAAAGCTCTAGTCGAGACTGCTCGACTAGGAGATACCCTGAACCCTCTAATCTGATATTCTAATCATTCTGCACTTCTYTTATGCACACATACATACAGATGCATCCACACGCACGTATAAGCCTGCGCTCTGCTAACTGCGCAGTAAGCAGCGACTGCGCTTGGGCTGCGCTGAAGTGTGGTCAATATTATGAGAATTTATTTGTCGAATAATTTCTTTTGTAAACATATGATCTTAATGAAACTTTCAGAGTGTAATCATATGGTAAATATGTGTGTACATTCCAAAGCACAAGTCTCTAGTACTTGAAATGCGTTTTTTACAAATTGGGGGAGAAGGGGGCGTGGTATCCAAAATCTGTAAATTACAAAATCTTTGTATCGATTAACTNTCTAGCTCTTATAACTTCTGAGATCGACGCACTCATACGGACGGACGGACGGACGGACGGACGGACGGACGGACGGACGGACGGACGGACGGACGGACGGACGGACAGACGGACAGGGCTATATCGACTCAGCTCGTCACGCTGATCAAGAATATATATACTTTGTGGGGTCTGCCACGCCTCCTTCTGCCCGTTACATACTTTTTCACAAAACCATTATACCCTGATTTCCCATTTTCAATGGGTTCAGGGTATAAAAATCGGGGAACTTCAACTCAATAGCTACGGCTTATGCAAAATAATAGAAAGTTGTTGACTGTTGTTTTTTTTTTTTAGGTAATAGCATCCAACTGCAATGTTATTGCTTCATTAAGTTTTGGCGTATCTTAACTGATCTATTAAGAAATCTTTTAAGAAAAGTCCATAAACTTAAAAACCCTGAGGATTTTATATATATAAATTTGGTTGTATAAATAGGTATTTACTATATACATATTCCCGACATTCCATCGGGAACTGGTTCATTGAGCAAGAGACCATTATTGGTTCGACTACTTACTGCCTGGAAAACGTGGAAATATGCGTCCATGTCGGCTGAGCAGCCAGGGGTAGAGCGGATAGCTGTCACGTATTAGATGAGGAGCGGCCACAAATGGATGATGACCATGGGGCGGTGGATGTCCTGGATGGGGGCCGCCTGGAAATATGCCCAGCGGATGGCCGGGCATCAGATGCGGTGGTGGCGGCGGGCCATGATGTGGCCCCGTTGGCACAGGCGGATGCTGAGGATGTTGTTGTTGTTGCTGCTGCTGTTGCTGTTGCTGTTGCTGGTGATGATGGTGTGCCAAGGCGGCGGCCATTTGGAACTGGGCGGCGAGAAAAGGTGGAGGCGGTGCCGCTGTGGGTCGAACGGGTGATGGGATGCCGGGCGCCGTGCCCGTAGGAGAAGCACTATCCGTGGAGCGTGGAGCACCAAGTAGCGTGAGATTTGTTGGAGCCGGCAGCGGAAGCGGGCGAATGAGTCCGGGCAGCGTAATGGGTGCAGCGGGTGGTGCCACAGGCGCAGCTGCAGCTGGGGAAGGGGACCGGCTGGCCGGCGTGGGCGGACTTCGTGAACGTTCATCCAAGGAGGTCCGTCGCCGGCAATAAATGAAGCCGCGTGGGGTTCGCCTCTCAATGGAGGGCGATGTGGCGGCGATCACTGGGCTGTCGCCTCGTGGCGAGGCAATAACAGTCATGCGCTGCGGATGAGTCGGCGTCTTCGCTGGCGTTGATGGCTCGGCGCCGACTATGGAGTCAATGCTGAAGGCCAGCTTTGGCTTGTTGCTGTTGTTGTTGTTGTTGTTGTTGCTGCTGCTGTTTGTGCTGGAAGAGCAATTGACACCGGTGGCTGAGGACGATGCTGAGGCGGACGGAGCTGTTGTGGAGCTAACGGACACCACAAAAGGATTCGTCGGCGCCATCGGCAGCATGTTGAACGTTTGACGACCGCACGTGACCATTTGGCGCGACGATGTTCAGAGATTCGATAGTTGGATAATGGAAAACACCGCACGAGGGTCAAACAATGAGCACAACAGATGGGTCAGTTGGATCGGTGCACACACACACACACACACACACACACACGCACGTACACACACTAGTGAACGCTTAAGCACATAAATAGATCAAGAGTTTGGTTTAATGCATCAGCGATTGGCATCCGTCGTTGACATTGATATAGTGGAGCGCACCGGAGCTGGTGGTTGTGGTGGTGGTGGTGCTGCTGCTGCTGCTACTGAAGCGTGGCCGTCGCACTTCACTGGCGAATTGACAGCGGTGGCTACGGCAGCCGCGTTGACAACGTCCATTGATTGCGGTCGTCGCGTTGATGAGCACTGTCAACGCCATTAGCATTATGCGAGAGCAGCTAAAGGCGTCTAATTGCCGGCAGAGCGAGCTGTGTGTGCGACGCTGCCCGCTCTTGGTTACTGGCTGGGTCGGGGGTCACTTTGCTGCGGGGGCGTCGGCAGTTTGGAGTCTCGTGAAAATCGCTTCTCAGTGCGTTACGTCGCGTGGCGGTTGCCGCAAAACGCGCGCGCGAATGTCTGCCACAAAATCACGGAATCAAACTGGCTGTCGCTTCATTTTTTTCCGGGCTGGCACTGGCATTCCAGCGGAGCTGCGGATTTGCTGCGCCCTATTGTTGTCTCGCTCGCCCCCAATGCGCGTGGCGCATGCGCCAAAGCAGCGCAGATAAATGAAGTGTTCAAACCAGCTCCCAGTACGCTGTGTGTGTATGTGCGTGTGAGTGTGCGCATGTGTGTGTGTGTCGCTGTGTTGTGACCACTCGTCAGTCTGGTCCACTTTTGACGCTCTCTCGCTCTCACTCGCGCTCGCGCTCGCTCTCTCTGCCTGGCTCTTGTGCTCGCGCTCTCGCTCTGGGCTTGGCTCTCACCGCGGGGCAGCGCTTGGCCATTTTTCGCACCAGTTTATGACAGCGAAACAAACAATTTGCGCTAAACAAAACAGCATCATTAAAGCGTTTGTGGTTTTAGTGCCCAACTAGCTGCTGGCAGAGAGAACTCTGCTGCCCGTAATGCGGGGCGTACTTTGAAAATGGGCAGTCAGCGTTTATTGGCACAGTGGTTGCTGAGTGCGTGAGAAACTGTGAATTTCGAGCGAGTTGGGCTTGGAATGAAACCATCTATATTTATATGAATTGACATATTCTATTAAATACAGTATCATATATAATATATAGATTTGTATACCATACTGTATCAGCAYAAGACTAGCATTTGTATATAAAATTTTTAATATTGAGATTATCTATATTAAAACACCTTATTTT